GGTTGTGTAATTTCCAAAGTAACAATCAATCTAAACTAATTAAAAACACTCACATAAACATGGAAATTACATGAATGTCACGTTGATCCAGCACTTGTAAAGGAATAGGAAATTGATCTGCTGTCGGTGGTTGTGCGATTTTATTATTCACTTCTAACTACCATGTGAGTGACAATTCTATTCATTGTCACAATATTGACTGCATTTAAGAATGTGATAATTTTTGCAGGTATGAGACATTTTTTTTCCTAAAAAAGCAATGTGATGATGGTGTAAAATGATATTGGCAAAAGGTCCACTGAAGCACCAACCATCAAGCTGTGCAAGAGAAACAATGCGCAGATTGTCACGAAGAAGAATAAATGGTTATGGAGACAAACACTTTGTAAAAATACCTGCCAGCTGAGCCTGTGTGGGAACATACTGTACACAAAGATCACCATGGGTCACTCGTCCACGAACAAAATGATAATCAATATTAATATGTCTACTCCTAACATGTTGAATGGGATTAACCAAGAGGTATGATGCAGAGACATTATCACAAAATAAAGTAGTAGGTACTCGAACATGAAAGCCTAACTCGAACAAAACTGAGTGAATGTGCATAGTATCCTAAACTGTGAAGGCCATGACCTGTATTCAGCCTCAGTGGAGGAGCGTGAGACCATGGGCTGCTTTTTGGACCGCCAAGAGATATGATTTGGGTCGAGAAAAATTGCATACCCAGTAGCCCTAGTGGTATTTCAGTTTGGGAAATGTTTAAGGTCTGCACTGCTGCTTTGGATGACAAGCAAAAAATAAACAAATGCCCTTATTAGTAATTTTACATTCAATCGGCCGTTTCAGCCAACATATTACCAAACACTTTCACTTCAGCAGATTCAACCTTTTCAGGCTTTTCAGCCATTCCAGTCAATGTAGCTGATACCAAACAGGCACTAAATCAGATCAAAATAGTAACCCGAGATATATCATCCTGTTATGGCTCTAGGGTGTTAACCGAGAAAGCTAAGATAATAGGAATTCAAGAAATGAATTCGAACATAAAGGGAAGAAGTTCAGAGAAGAAGATGATGGATCATATTCAGAGTAGTTATGTTCGTACATACAATGATATCTTTATACAAGTGAGCTGAACTAATTACTAACAAACTAACAGATAACAAATAACCAATTGGAATGTTAGTTCATCTGCCAGCTCATCTCCGGGTCCATCTCCAGCTTAAGTAATCCAGCCCATCACCAGATGCATAACACATCCACACATTTCACCCCAAACACTCCATCTCATAACAACTTTATGAAATCTTAAACATTACACACTCACCATTACATTAATTAATCACCAATTAACCATGACCCCTTGAAAGTGACATATCTGAGCGGGAAATCTAGGCCAAAAAAACATTTTCCCTTTAGATTATATAATACGTAATAGATTTTACTTCTTAAAAGCTACTCCGTAATTGCAAACATCTGAATTACTAATATTTTAATTTAAACCACTAATGGAAGCGGCTAGTTAAAAAAGATGACAGAATTCGCTAGTATCTATTTGCCGATTCAACCGACTGTTAGCTAGTGGACTGAAAATCAAAGTAGAACTAAAAATGTCAATTTCACAATACTTAGGATAAGAAATATCGATAATTCTAAATTTGGGGAACAGAAGTATCTCACTCCAAAAAAATTGACCAATTTGTCTGTTTTAAGGGGTAATAGCCCTAAATAGTAGGGGTGGATGCGGTCTGGAACGGTCCGGTAAATTAGTAAAACTCATAATGTATCTGTGAGGTTTCAAACGGTCTAGTACTAAGGATGGAACCATTCGGTACCATGTCGTTTCAGAATGGTACAAAACGTATAGTACAATGTCAAACACATGATTTGCTAAAAATTGGACAAATTCTGCAATTGGAAAAAGGTGCAAATAGGCCCATGTACTAACAAAAATAGGTCAAATAAGCCCTTATTTAGGAGGCTCTGTCCGGCAGTCGTCATTTGGGATGGTTCCCGGTGGAATGTTTTGATGAAATTTTTTGAGCATCTTATTCATCAAGTCTAGTTTACTCATACCAAATTTCAGCTAAAACTTCAATCGGGAAGACATTCAATGAATTCTTGATGATAAGTGCGCTTCTAACTGCGCAATTATTTTCAAAAATTCATTTGAATACCTTACCGATTGAAGTTTTAGCTGAAATTTGGTATGAGTAAACTAGACTTGATGAATAAGATGCTCAAAAAATTTCATCAAAAAATTCCACCGGGAACCACCCCAAATGACGACGGCCGGACAGATCCTCCTAAATAAGGGCTTATTTGACCTTTTTTGGTTAGTATATGGGCCTATTTGCACCTTTTTCCCTTCTGCAATTAGTAGATATCATCACATCAACCAACTCATATGAAATGCTGACATAAAAATACAAGAAATTGCGTACGTAGTACTAAAATTTACAAATACACAAATAGTGCAACACAACTATGAAAAAGTAGCAAAATGATGATACACAAGATAAATATCATCTTTAATTACTAGTTCATGTGAAAATATAAAAGAATATCATCAAATGGTTGAATATAATAGAAAATTTGAATCTTATTTTTTGTTCTAGGTTAAATATTAATTCTAATTTAATTTATAGTTGAACGGTGTGAGTTAAGATTTAAACCATATTAAATAAGTTGTAAAATTTCACAAACATGATACAACAAAAAATTATATACACTACATTACTAGAAATGAATAGTCTTTTTAAAACTTTAACATTCTTTCAATACATACCAACATATAACAGAAATTATCTATTAAAAAAATAACCATATAATAAACACACACATTTAGCTATTTCTGGGACACATGAATACATAATTGGGCTATAAAATTGTTGGTCTATAAAATAGATTCATTGGTATGGAAAAAACATAAAAATTGCAAATACATTATTTTTGAATGATACAGTATTTTTCGGTAGTCAAAATCTAGACTGGTCCCATACCCGTTTCAAATGGTATGATTTCAGTCCAGTATAAAAATCAATAGAACCTTTAAATACCCGTTTTTCAATTCGGTGCCACTACGAGTCGATTCAGTACAAGTCTGGTTCGGGTTTTATGCCCTCCCCTACTAAATAGTAAATAGGACTAAATTTAGCCCAAAATTCAACAATAGGACTACATTCTTTTTATTTCCCAAATAAGACTAACACATGTCTTTTCTTCCCATTCTACCCCTTCCTATGATTTGTAATAAATTTATTTTATAATTAAGAAAATTATAGTTTTATTTATAATAATAATATGAAAAATAATAAAATATTTATAAATTAGTTATAAAAACATGAAAAAATAAAGAAAAGTAAAAAAACAAAAAAATAAAAAACTTTGAAAAGGTCTAAAAATGAAATAAAATACTTAACAACATTTAAAAAATATGTACGCCACTGCCACCACGTCCTCCACCTCCCAGCACCACCACCTTTGATCATCGGGAAAAATGACATCTTGTGTAAAAAATGCCACATTTCTCTGAAAATGACATGGAAATGACATTTTTAGTTTTTGAAAATATCCAGCTTTCTTTTCAAAATTGTCATCACGAAAATTTTGTTTTCAATTTGGCATTCTTTCTCGATGCCCGCAGGTAGCGGCTCTGAAAAGTGGTTGAGGTAGTGGTTTTATTATTATTATTTAAAAATCTTATTAAGAATGACATTTTTTCAATTTGGCCTGTATATTTTTAAATTTATTTTTTTTTTACATTTTTTTAGTTGTTTAGTGTTTTATCATTATTATTTAAAAATCCTACTACATCCATCCCATAATGGTTGTCTCATTTCAATTTGGCACAGTTATTAATAAAGTGGTTGGAAAATAAAAGTTGTGATTAAGATTTGAGTAGAATGAAGTGAAATGATATGGACCACAAATTTCTTACCAAAAAGGAAACATGACATTAGTTTTGGGACAATCCAAAAGGGAAAGTAAGACAACCAAAATGGGACGAATGGAGTATTAAAAATGACAAGTGAAAGGATAAAATGGGAATTTTAACCCGGCAGTGTTGTTCCCATTTTTTTTAGGGAAAAGGTGTAAATAAGCCCTCGAACTAACCGAAAAAGTGCAAATAAGCCCTTTTATAGGAAGCTCTGTCCCGTCGTCGCCATTTGGGGCGGTTCCAGGTAGAGTTTTTTTATGATTTTTTTTAGCATCTTCTTCACTAACTAGTTTACCTATACCAAACTTTAGCTAAAAATTTAACCGGGAAGGCAGCCGAATAATTTTCTGAATTATACTGCGCTGTTTAACTTCTCATCTTCAAACATTTATTTGACTGCCTTTCCAGTTGAACTTTTAGCTGAAATTTGGTACGAGTAAACTACACTTAATGAAGAATATGCTAAAAAAAAATTCATCAAAACATTCCACTGAGAACCGTATCAAATGGCGACGGCCGGACAAAACTTCTTATAAAAGGACTTATTTGCACTTTTTTAGTAAGTTTGGGGGCTTATTTGCCCCTTTGAGTGCTCTTCATGTCAGGCCGGCCTGACAGGCTGCCCCGTCCGGCCGAGCCCGTTTGGGCACCTTCCCGGTGGAATTTTTTTATGAAATTTTTTGAGCATGTTCCTTATCAAGTCTAGTTTGTCCATACCAAATTTCAGCTCAAAATTCAATCGGGAAGGTCGTCAAATGATTTTTGCAAGTTAACTGGTCTGGAAAATACATATTCCGGACCAGTTAACTTGCAAAAATCATTTGACGACCTTCCCGATCGAATTTTGAGCTGAAATTTGGTATGGACAAACTAGACTTGACGATGAACATGTTCAAAAAATTTCATCAAAAAATTCCACCGGAAAGGTGCCCAAACGGGCTCGGCCGGACGGGGCAGCCCGTCAGGCCGGCCTGATGAGATGATTTCTCTTGCCCCTTTTACCTTGTTTTCATTTAGTGCGGAAACCTAGCTTGTTTGTTTTTATACCAATATACCAATTTGACTTGAGTGTTTTTTTTCTTCAATTCTCCCTTTTTTTACGGGTAATTTGGCCTGTACTTCGCATATGAGCAAGTGTGCAATTTTGGCATCACTCTTTCCGCCTTCCCACCTTATCTCCTCCAAGGCAACCACTTCGTTCTCTCTTCACTTCTCCAGCTGCAATGGCTGGCAAACGGAGAACGGAGACCGAGGAGGGGGTAAATAATGAACCGCCTGCTGAATTCAATGAAGAAGAAGAAGAACAAGAAGTAGAAGAAGAAGAAGTAAGGGAAGAGAAGAAGCATTCTTACAATTCAGATTCCGATTCCGATGATGAAATGCCATACATTCGACCTGGAGAGTACGACCCCAATGAAGTGAGCGAAGATCCAGATGATAATATCAGGGATTTCTTGCGTGTTATCTATTCGGACCGGGCCCTGAAAAAGGAGGAGGAAAAAGAGAGAACTCGCCTTCCGTATGAGGAACTCTTCAACTTCCCGAAAGACCCCGAGAAGTGGAGTGAGGAGGATTTGAAGGAGATATGGGCGGACCCTCCGACTGGAGCAAACAAAACCGGCTGGGACCCGAATTGGGCTGACAGGGAGGATAAAAACGCTGTGAGAAATGAGGTTAAGGCGGGTCGGGAGCCGCCCATTGGCCCGTTTTACATTCCTTACAGGAAGCCATACCCAGCCATACCAAATAATAACCACGACATCTCCAATCCAAAGGCTGTGATTGAAGAGCTCGATAGAAGAGAGGAGTTCATGAGATGGGTCAGCTACATTTTCAAAGATGGTAGCTCGTAAGTGTTTTTCCTGCATTGAATGCTCATTTTTTATGGATGTTTCAAATTTTCTTGGCGAAGCAGTTGCATTTCGTTTGAACACTATAGAAGTGTTAACATTGCTACACATATTGATATTAGCTCTACTAGAGCAAATTATACTGTACATCCAGGTTTAAAAGAGACTAATTTTCATATGATTATGTTCATGGCCAGTCTTCTTATATCTTGCCCATTTGTCTTCTAGAGGGCCATATATAGCTCCTCAATTTTCTCCGAAGTATGCTTATCTCATCGGAATCCATCACATACATCTGATTCGAATGTGATTGCCTTTGTCTGTAAATACAATGACGTCCTTGAGTGAAATTGTTGAAATTTGCTCTCTTACACTCCAATTAGGCATGCCGGAAAAGATTTAACACACCTGTTACTGAATATAATTGCTTAGTAATGCTGGAAATTTTCCTGAGTTAAATGTTCATACCTTCAAATCATCGGTCAAACTAAACAGTCCATTGGAGAACTTAAAAGTTATCTATATTGTGGTATAAGGATATGACTTTATTCATTAATGACTGTACTCCCTCCATCCGTCCCACTAAATTTGCCTCGTACCATATTTGTGTGGTTGTAATTTATTCTTACTTGATAAGTACTTTACAAATTCAACACCAAGTCAGCAACCACATAATTCGACTTTTCTTAATACATAGATGTCCTTCAGTGAAATTTTATGTTGAGACCTAAGTGATAGTTGATCGGTTTGCCATATAGATTTTATCCTTGAGAGTGAAAATTTTCTGAATCTACTAATCTTTATGGAAATAAACTAGAAGTATGAAATGTTCTGTTCTTCTACTCTCCTCTCGTTGGGCTATTTACATACCACATTTAAATTTGTTAGGACAATGGATTCCAAAACTTTTCCCCTGGGGTCTTGTGGTTTAATGTCATGGTTGGTGATCATAATGTTAATGAAGGCATGTTTGGTTTACTTTGGAATTCTATTATCAATATGTTGCCAAAAAGTGCACTGGTTCTGCTATGTTGTGCTTTCACTGCAAAGATCCGGGGTAGATTGGGAAACATTTAGTCAAAGCACATTGTGATTGTAAAATATATAGACTCTTTATTTTTATTTTTTCCAAGGTATGAAGGCACTGTTTGGGATGACAAGGCACATGGAAAAGGTGTTTTTGTTGGTCAGAATGGGCTGGTCAGGTTTGTCTAATATATCTGTATCGCTTTCCAGATATAAATGTATATATTAGTGTTCCGAGTATTAAGAATCGTGTTCAGGGTTGTATTGTCATTGTTGATTTGCATATATAGGTATGAAGGTGAATGGCTTCATAATGAAATGGAAGGACATGGGGTTGTTGAAGTAGAAATTCCACACATGCAACCCGTTCCCGGATCCAAGTATGTTGTATATCTTATTTACACCAACTCATTCATACAGGCAGGGTTGAATTTTCCTTCCTTTGAATGTAGCTGCTTAATTTGTTTATCAGGCTAGAAAAGAAGATGCGAGCTCAAGGGAGAACAATAACAAGAGATTCCATGAGTCCAGAAGACAGAGAATGGCTTGAAATGGATATTGAAGATAGTATTGAATTAGCTGGGGGATATTATCAAACCCCTTTTTATGAGAGAAGGGAGTGGATAAGGCACTTCGGAAAGAAACCGTAAGTTTTTTTATATATATACTCCCTCCGTCCCGCTAAGATTGTCCCAAACACTATTCACTTGGTCAACACAATTCACTCTTAATCTCTTACTTTATATATCAAATTTTTATCAAATTTGATTCTGGTTTTTGTGACTTTGTAAAGTTTTTAACGTAGTTTCTGAATATGTAATTTTTTTTTTTCTAAAAATAATTTGAGTTCAGATAGGGATCTGTTTGCTTTATCGTCGGTCAAGCATCGTAAACCGAATTGTCCCAAAAATAGTGGGACGGAGGTAGTATAAAATATGAACTTCCTCTGGTTCAAAAAAGAGAGCCATGTTTCAAACATTCTTTTGTCTTAAAAGGACCCCTCTCCATTAAAACAAAGCTAATTTTTCATATAATTTTCCAATAAAAGAGTCATAGCCAAGTCAGAGATGATAAGTTTTGCTCAACCATGAAAGAAGCATTAAAATCATAAGTAGGAATGACGATTTAGAAGTTGTTCCTTACCAATAAAAAACAAAAATTGTACCATGGCCAAACAGATTTTTTCCGCTAGGATATAGCATGCCTTTTGTGCCCATGCTTCTTTTTAAAGCTAGCTAGGTCCTTATCCAGTTATCCCTTACTAATTCCAGTGCTCCTAAACTTATAAAAGTGTCTTTTTAAAAGTCAGCAAGGCCTCTAGTTATTTATGTCTTGATTATGCTCGAGTGTAATTTATAATCTTATGATGGTTACTTTTTCGCAGTGCACTTTTTTTAGACGCGCTTTTGATTTTTCATGCTCATGCTAAGCTAAAAATATGTTGACAATTTTGATTTTTTTGTAATTTAGTTTGTTGCCTGTATACTCCCTCCGTATTTTAAAGTTCCATACACTTTAATGGAATTTAGAATAAGAAGGATTGAGACTGAATAACTTGGTTTATTCCATGAAATGAGTTGCTATTTATACAATATTCTTAGGGATTAATAAGGCAGGCTACTAATTATAATATTAAATACAAATATTTGTAACTGACAACTCTAATCAATTGTGTAACGGTTGTCTAGACTTTTCTTTGTCTAGATTCTTCTATATGCCCCCGTAAGCCAGGTATTCAATCGGTGCTAAGAATCCTGAGCTTGTCACGTAGAAACACAAACCGCTGCCGTGAAAGTGGCTTGGTGAGAATGTCAGCTAGTTGATCATGAGAGGGAATATGAAGAACTCGAAGAAGGCCACGTTGCACGTGTTGACGAACAAAATGGAAATCAATAGCAACATGTTTCATTGGGGAATGAAAAACCGGATTGGCGGAAGAGGTGGTGGCGCCTTTATTATCACATAGAAGAACCGGAGGAGAAGAAGGAGAATGTCGAAGCTCATGAAGAAGTGACTCAATCCAAAGAGTTTCAGATGCAGCTGTGGATAGGGCCCGATACTCTACTTCGGTAGAGGATTTGGCAATTGTGCGTTGTTTGGACGATTTCCATGAAATAAGTGATTCTCCGAGAAAAGTGGCATAGGCACTGGTGGAGGACCGGTCGTCTGGATTTCCCGCCCAGTCCGCATCAGCATAAGCACACAATGAAAGGTGAGAACTCCGACGAAGATATAAACCATGAGAGCTTGTTCCTTGAAGGTACCGCAAGAGATGTTTCATGAGCTGCCAATGATTGACAGTGGGTTTATGCATAAACTGAGCTAGCTTGTTGATGGCAAAGGCAGTGTCAGGTCGGGTGAGGCTTAAATACTGAAGTGATCCAATAACTTGACGATAGAGGGTTGCATCACAAGAACCCAAACTGTCAAACAAAGTCAAGGAAGCTGAGGAAGCTAAGGGTGTGGATACTGGATTCGCCTCATGCATGTTCAACACTTGTAATAAATCCGTAATGTACTTGTGTTGATCAAGAAAGAGTCCATCCGGTGTAGGGGTGACCTGCATGCCCAAAAAGTAATGTAGTGATCCCAAATCCTTGATAGAGAATTTTTGTGCTAACAAGTCAATAGTCTGATGGATTAATGCTGTTGTAGAGCCCGTGACAATAATATCATCCACATATACTAACACATAGATATAAGATGGATGAGAGGAAAAAATGAAGAGGCTGGCATCAGAAACTGATTGATGAAACCCAAGGGATAAAGGAATCCACTGAGAGATTGGTACCACACCCGAGGTGCTTGTTTGAGGCCATAGATGGATTTCCTTAGACGACACACTCTTCCGGATCCATCATTAAAACCAGGGGGTTGTTTCATGTAAACCTCCTCTTGGAGAGCCCCGTGTAGGAATGCATTGTTGACATCTAGTTGATTTATGTGCCAGCCATGAGAAAGGGCAATGGTCAGAACAACCCAAATAGTAACTGGCTTAATGACAGGACTAAAGGTCTCGGAGTAATCAATCCCCGGGCGCTGATGAAAGCCCTTAGCCACCAATCGAGCTTTGAAACGATCCAAGGAACCATCAGACTTGTATTTCATAGTATAAACCCATTTGCAGCCAACAATGTTCTGACCAGGATGAGCAGGTACAAGTTCCCATGTCCCTTGTTGAACCAAGGCGTCAAATTCCAAAGACATAGCCTTCCTCCATTCAGGTACTTGTAAAACGTGAGAAGCACAAGTAGGAATAATATGATGAGGTAATAATGAGTGAGTGACAATGTTAGCTTGTTTACGAGGACGAAGGGTCATTGGGTGGGTACGTTTGGGTGGAGAGGCATTTGGATCATAATGGTGACCCGAGGTAGATATGGGGTTATGTGTAGTGAGAGTGATGGTTGAAGGGGTGGTTTTGGGTGCATGAGGTAAGGATGGAGTAGTTGGGTTTTGTTTGGGCCGACGGTGATAAGTGATGAGGACCGGTTGGTTCAAAGCGGGTGGACTGGTATGAGTCGTATGAAGGTCTAATGGAGTTGGGTTAGACATGGATGTATTAGGGGAGTTTTGTGTCGCTGGGGTATGAGAAGCAGGAGACGCCTTTGCTACTGATGTACCTGAGATAGGAGGCTGAAGCCAATTGTCAATTTAAGAGGACAGATCTGTAACTGATGTTGGATTGTTAGAGAAAGGAAAGACAGACTCATTAAACACCACATGCCGACTAATGAAAATGCGATTGGTAGTAGGATCAAGACAACGATAAGCGCTTTGTTGATTGCAATACCCAAGAAAAATACATGGTCTAGACCTTGGTTCCAACTTATGAGCTGCATAAGGACGGAGCCATGGAAAACACTGACACCCGAAAATAGCAAGTTTTGTGTAATTGGGATGTTTTTGAAAAAGTTTTTCATAGGGAGTACAAAAGCTTAGAGATGATGTTGGTTGCCTATTAATTAGATATACAGCAGTTGAAAAGGCATAAGACCAATATTTTAGTGGCATGGAGGAGTGGTGAAGTAAAGTGATCCTTGTTTCTACAATATGACGATGTCGACGTTCAGCAAATCCATTATGCTCAGGGGTATATGGAGGAGTCAGTAAGTGAGTAATACCACAAAAGGCCAGGAATTTCCTGGATATGTATTCACCCCCTCCATCTGAATAAACCGTTTTAATAGATTTTTTGAAAAAAAAATTCTACAATTTTCTTAAATTGTTGAAAAATTGATGTTACTTCTGACTTGCGGGTGATAGTATAAAACCAAATATATTTTGTGTAGTGATCAACAAAAATAACATAATAACGAAAACCATCCACAGAATTAATGTGTGAAGGACCCCAAACATCTGTATAAATTAAATCAAGGGGACCAGAACTTGAAAGGGAAGATTTAACAAACGGTAACTTGTGACTTTTATTACTTGCACATGAAGTGCACAAGGACAAATCCTTACTAACATCTTTAAAGAAAATAACTAACGAGGAAATAATTTTTTGAGTGATAGGAAGGGCAGGATGTCCTAAACGACAATGCCATTTATTTAGAGAAAATTTTGTAGTAACATTGACTGAGGGAACAGGAACATCAGGCAGGCTGTAGACGTCACCTTTATTCATACCCCGTAACAAAATTGCTCCCGTTTTCCGGTCCTTGACAAGACAAAAAGAAGGGTGAAACTCAATTAGTACATCATTGTCACGACATGATTTGGCAACTGAAATTAAATTAGTTTGAATAGAAGGAACAAAAAGAGTATTAGGTAAGGAGAGAGAATGGAGGGTCATATTCCCAACTTGTGCAATTTCAAGACTTTTACCGTTACCAATAATGAGGGAGTCTGTGCCGGTATAATCGGACGCCAAGGTAAGGTTGTTTAAATTATTGATGACATGATTACTTGCTCCCGAGTCTAGTAACCATCCGCTTCTCCTGTTCGTGGCAGTATTAACTTGGGGGGATAATTTTGTTGTTCAAATCTATGCCAACAGTTGATAGCGAGATGGTTCGGTTTGCCACAAATTTGGCATATAATAACAGCACCCGAACTGGTATTTCCTCCAAAATTGGTACGCCTTCCCCCTGGGCGTGGGCCTCGATTCTGATTGTAGAGATAATTGGGACGTGGGCCTCGATTCTGATTTCTGGCAAAATTCCTATTCTGAGTATTGGGCCTGTGGAATAAATTCTGAGACTGGGCTGATGGAGCTGGGCCTAATATAGACCCACTCTGGTCTGGAATCCTCTTAGTCGTCATAGTGACCGAACTATCTTCTTCCTCTTTCCTTTCGACGGTAGCTGCGTTCACCGTAACAACAGGGGCGGAGTTCAAGAGCTCCTTCCTTCGGATTTTATCTTCGAATCCGACCAGTAAAGAGTGAAGGTCTTCAAAGTTGGTTTCATCTGGCGGATGGAGTTCTCCATGGATTCAAATTCGGGACAAAGACCCTCCAGGGCTTGAATGGCAAAGTCTTCATCGTGATGAAGATATTCGTCCGACCTTAGCCAGTTCATTCGCGATGGTGCGTAGGTGATGAAGATATTCTGCTACAGGTTGCGAGCCTTGTTTAGCGTGGCGGAACTGGTTTTTCAGACTTCGAATCTTGGAAGCTGACCGGGTCCCATATAGGCGCTCCAGTGTCTTCCAGACAGAGGCGGAGGTCGTTGCTGACCCAATCAACGGTTTGCAAGCGGAACTGAGGGAAGAAACAAGGGCGTGCCGCACCAGACAGTCCTGTCTCTTCCATCGGAGATGGCTGGCAGCTTCACTTTCTGGAGGACTGAATTTTTCATCAATATACTGGTCCAGATGAGAACCAAACAGAAGGTCCATCACTTGGTCTCTCTATACAAGGTAATTTGATCCATCTAGTTTTTCTGGGAATTGGCTAGGGCTGAGCATAATAAGGCCATCTGGGGTTAGGGGATTGTTGGCTGAGAAAGATGAGGTTGAATTATCTTCTGGACTTTTGTCTCTGTTATCTTCATTAGCCATGGGCAGATGATGCTGGTTGAGAGGAAGGTAATGAGAATAGACCGATTAGGTCTCTAGAGGCTCTGATACCATAATGGAATTTAGAATAAGAAGGATTGAGACTGAATAACTTGGTTTATTCCATGAAATGAGTTGCTATTTATACAATATTCTTAGGGATTAATAAGGCAGGCTACTTATTATAATATTAAATACAAATATTTGTAACTGACAACTCTAATCAATTGTGTAACGGTTGTCTAGACTTTTCTTTGTCTAGATTCTTCTATACTTTTCATTTTGGGATGTATTTAAAAGTTCCATACACTTTCCCTTTTTGGTAAGTTTTTTCCTTTAAAAATACTCAATTACCCTTACTTTTTCTACTTTTTATCATCTCTTTCCTACTTTTTCCCCTTCTCTCCTACTTTTTCTATACTATTCATTACCCCTACTATTCTCCTTTAAATCTTGTGCCATAAACTAACGTATGGATCTTTAAAATACGGAGGGAGTATATTGTAATTAGGCTTTTGTGGTATATGAGGAATGAAAAGGGAGAAATATTTTTCCATGATACCTCAGGTTTTATGATGTAGAGATGTTTGTATGGAAATGCTAGCTGTTGCAAATACGTGTGAAACTACACGACATGCTTGCATCTAAATATCCACCACCAATTTGTTCTCTTATTTAAATTATTATTACAGAGAGACGGGCCAATATAAATATGCTGGTCAGTGGAAGCATGGTAGAATGCATGGTTGTGGTGTATATAAGGTCAACGAGCGAAAAATATATGTAAGAACATATGTAAAGCTTATTTCTGTGTAGGAGGATTGTGACTTTGCACCCTATTTTTGGGTGAAATTTGGCTTTACAACCCATTTCAAAGAAAGTATATATGTGCACCCCATTTTAAAAAAAGTAAATGTGTGCACCCCATGATTTTTTTTGCAATTCCTTAACAATTTTTTGAACTGATTAGGTGCATACATTGTATGGTAATGGGTTGAAAAGTCTAATTTCTCCCAAAATGGGGTGCAAAGTCCAATCCTCCGTTTTTATGTATCAACATGGATTCACCCTTCTTTTTTCTAGAATCTAGACTTGATCGGTCACCATTTTTTATATTGTTGATGAAACTATAGGTAACCCATAATATATAGCTTTCTCTCAGTTATAGGTAAGTAATAGAAAAATGAAAGTTTCATAATCGGGGGTGCTTGAGTAAAGGCATGGAATGGAGGAGAGTTAAGATTAAGAAATGATGTTTATGTCCTGGTTACAAAGGCCTATAAGGCCTTACAACCCTTTTGTTTACTTGTGATAAAACAAAATGAAGGAAATAGATTCCTGTAGTGTAAAGCTCTTCTATTTACTCAAGGGGTGGCCAAATGAAGGCTCTTGTGATGACACCATGAGGATGGGGCTTTGTTTTCTATGGCAACAACATGCAAACCTTAGTCCCAAAGAATTTGGGAAAATCAATACTCCCTCTGTATTTTAATGTTTGCTGCACTTTCCTTTTTTGGATGTATTAAAAAATTTGCTACACTTTCCCTTTTTGGTAAGTTTTTCCATTAACAATACTCAATTTACCCTTACTTTTTTTTTACTTTTTATCTTCCCTTTCATACTTTTCCACCATCTCTCCTACTTTTTCTACACTATTCATTACCCCTACTATTTCACACTTAACAAAACAAATGTGCCAACACCTATTGTAGTAAACAAAAAAAAATACGGAGGGAGTATATGAAATCGGAGTTAAAAAAGTGAAAAAAGAGAGAAGGAAATATGGATAATACAACAACAACAACATTACCCCATGTCCCCAATTGCAGCAAAGGCTCCCACAAACGGTGGGATAAGGAGGGGGGGGTCGGATGTACGCAACCTTACTCTGTACTAAAGCACGTAAGGATTGTTTTTGAATGACCCATGAGAAAAGGATAAAATAAGATAAAAATATAAAAAAGATAAGATAAAAGTAAGATAAAGATAAGATAGGATAAAATAAAAAGATAGAGAAGTGAAGAAAGGTAAAAAAAGAAAAAAAAGTCAAAAAAGAAGAAAAAAGATAAAAAAAAAATATGAAAATGAGATCAATTCTCCACACATATATTCTCCTTCCATTTCGCTCTCTCCAAATTCATACTTTCATCCAACCCGTGACCCATCTATTCCACATTTAATTTAGTTTTACTCTCCCTCTCCTTTCCGCCTCTTCTCCCAACCTCTCAACTCGTTTAACAGGTGCATCACTTGGTGTTCTACGCACATGTCCAAACCACTGCAATCAAGATGCTCGTTGTCTCGCATCTTAACTTCATTAAGTGCTACTTCCACCTTTTATTTGATTGTCTCATTTCTCAAGTGGTCTTTTCTAGAATGTCCACATATTCAACACGACATATGCATCTCAACCACATTCATCAGTCTTTTCTAGTATGTTCAGTTATTCACACATCTGACGCAACATGTGCATTTCAGCAACACCCATCTTTTGAATGTTACATTGTTTCATGTTTCATTGTCCAACACTCTACGCCATAAAATTTACTTTTCAGTAGTTCAGCCTAGTTGCCTTACCTTGATCAACCTGCAGCGTATCTCGATTGCAATCGCAAATGAAGATGGTTTGCACTCAGGTTGAGAGGATCGAGAGACGTCACATGTTAATTTGGATGTGTGAGATTTGGATGATGGAGGAGGAGAAGAAGATCAAGATTCTTAGGAAGAATCTGATTTTAACTTAGGATGATTTTAATTTAAATGTTTAGTTATGTAGTTAGGAGTTAGAACTTTATTTCTTTTAAGTCGTAAGTACCTAAAATATTTGATATTATGTGCTAAATAACTTATTATGATTATTATTTATCACTTATTACTACTTTCTGATTATATGCATACATATATATGTATATGTGAGTATATTTATTTTGTATGATCTAATGATTCACGATCATTAGTTCAACTTCCGATCCTACGTAGGATCTCAAGTTTAACTATCATGGCTTCGACTCAATCTCAAATCCTTATTCTCCAGAGTTTTCCGCCATACTTCAAACTTTGCTTTAATGCCCAATTTTGTCTCTCATCAATCAACACAATATCATCGACTGATCGATAAACATTGTGCACTATGGTACATTTTCTTCAATGGACTTTGTGACTCAAAATCGATTGTTGGTGTACTCTTATAGTAATAAGGAACTATGTAATCCTCCCTACATTGGTACAAACACTTGCACTACAATCTTCATACATATCCATGATGATGTTGATATATGATAGAGTATTAAATTCTAGAGGGAAGTGAGAGCTAGAGAGAGAAAGTGAGCAATTAATATTTCTTAACCCCCTATAACTACCCCTAAGGGGAGTATTTATAGGGAAAATGTGGATTTGGGCTCCTAGCCATGAGCTTAGGAGGCCCATTACATTAATAAGGCCTCTATTGGGCTGAATACATGATTTATTTGATCAAGTGTAAAAACTATTCTGCCAGTGCACTTTGTGGCCGACGAGGTACCCTCTGGCCGATGCAATGTCTCTGGCCGATGCGATCCTCTGGCCGATGCGACGCTCCTGGCCGATGCGATCCCCTGGCCGATGCAATCCCTGGTCGCATCCTGAGTAATTTTGGTTCCGGCCGATGAGGCACCTTGTTGGCCGATGGGAGCCATCTGGCCGAAGGGACGCCACATGGGTGTCTATCTTTAGTAGTTTGGTCCTTTGAGTATGTGGGCCATGGGGTCTGGGCCCATATACTCTATCAGGAGTCCCCCACTCTCTGAGCTGAGAAGAAGACGAAGTGAAAGGTAGTAAACTATTGTTGTGTTTGATGCTTTTGGCCGATGTGGAACCATGTGTGGTTGATGTCTCATTGTTTGCTATATCCTTGCGTCTGTTCCTTGTGGACGATGAGGCGTGACTTTGTTTTGGAAGATGATGAAGTATGACTCGTCATTTTGAGGACGATCCGCGTCCTCTAGGTTCACCTTTTGGCTTAGCCGAAGGCAAATCTTTGTATTTGTGGTCGTTGTGATGCTGATGATGCAATCTTGCTTTGTTTTGCTTTTGAGTTTGCTTAGTTTTTGGGGCTGATGTAGTCCCCCAATTCCCCACTCCTTGAGGCACGTGTAATGTGGAGAAAAGGAGTAGAGTAATGCATGTCTTCAATAGGGGGGCGAGGGTTGACACCTTTTGATCCACAATGGGGAGATGCCTCGTTAAAAACCTCATTAGGAAGAACCCAGTGGGAAAAAATCCTAATGAGGAAAAAGGAGTGTACTTGATGCCTCCAAATCGAAGCAAAAGGTGTGAGCCCTTCGGCCTGAAGCTGCACGTCTGCTGAGGGGATGGCCGAGGTTCGGCCGACATTGATACGATTGGTTTGATGGTCAAGACCTTTTTGAGTGTGAGGATGAAGCGCTATATGCTTGTCTAAATATGAGGATGAAGCGTTAAACGTTTGTCTGGATATGAGGAGGAAGCGTTGCTCGTTTTTCTGAATATGAGGACGACGCCGATGATGAATCGGTCCATAAATCTAAGCAACGGTTGCCATCTGGTAAAGGAGTGGCTAAGACCGGTCTTCATAAAGAGAATCACGCCATGCTGAGAGGTCGGCGTGATGTAAAGGCGACGATAGCTATCCCGGGGAATAGCAAGTCCGGTCGCTATACCAAGACTTCGGCGTTGGGGGGAGGTCTTGAGATGGAGTATCACGCCATGGCCGAGGGACCGGTCGTGATGTAATGATGACGGCGATGATGAAGACACTAGACCTTGACGCCAGTCTGAAGATGAAGGACGGCGTTGGACGCCCTTCCATTGAGGACGACAGTGCTGATAAGCCGGTCCGATGATGAAGGACAAGGTGTTGGCGCTCGTCCGAAGATGAGGGACAACGCTGATGAGCCGGTCCAATGATGAAGGACCTGGCTTGGGCACCCGTTTGAAGATGCGAACGACGGCGCTGATGAAGCCGGTTCGATGATGAAGGACCAGACTTTGACACCGATCTGAAGATGAAGGACGGCACTGAGCAGCTGGTCCGATGATGAAGGACCAGGCCTAGACGCTCGTCTGAAGATGAGGGACGGCGTTGAGCGGCCGGCCCGATGATGAAGGACGGTGCTGAGCGCTTTTTCATCGAGGATGACGGCGCTAATGAAGCCGGTCCTTTGATGATGATGGATCAGGCTTTGACGCCTGTCCAAATTTGAGGACGACGGCGCTGATGAAGCCGCTCCTTTGATGGCCAAGGCGTTGGCTCTTGTTCGAAGATGAAGGACGGCGCTAGACGTCGTTCCCCCTTTCAGGTCTGGCTGAAGTGGAGCCGTTGCAGACGAGGGGCGCTAAGGAGCTCTTCTTGGTCAAAGGAACTGTGGTTCCTCTGTTAGAGACGAGGGTGGCGTTCTTCGTTCTTTGTTATTCCACTGATTGAGCTGTGCAGGCTGAAGAGAAGGCCTCTGCTGCTCTTGGCCCCATTTAGCCGAGGGAATGCCTCAAGATGCTTGGACTCCTACCTAGAGTGAGTGATCTAGCTTGTCGGCTTGCCGGGGAGATTTTTGACTGATGAGGTCAACTCGTGCAGACGAGAGATCTCCAGCATGAATTTGAATTATGATCATGGCCGAGGGTCCCACCAGCTTCTTGCCTTCATGTAGATTTCCCTTTTTCTTTTAGTTTTTAGCCGAGGTGAACACTAGCTGAGGAGTACATGTTGCCTCTACTAGGGCCGGGGTGGCACCATGTCCTCTATTTATTCTATTTATGTGATGTGTTAT